ATGTAAATGCCCCACATGATAATTCTCAAAGCCCTGATTTTACTAACAATTCATTTTCTGTAAAAGAGTATCACAAATTATTCTAGTAGAACTGTTCATAACTACCATCTGTTTGGGAAGGAAGATAGAATATGGACACTAAACTATTTGAATTCTGTTGACCTAGAAAAATTCAGCCAATCTAAACTGCCTTAGCAGCATGCCTCAGCAACTACCAGCATCCAGGGATAATAACATGAGAGGAAACATGGTATAGTTGAAAAGCACTGGAATTAGAAGTAAAAAAACAAAAAAAAACAGTTTTCTGAGCCTAGTTTTGCAACTAACTACAGGCAAATCACTTAACTATAATCTTACCTAATTACACAAAATTGTTGTAAATATTTTGATTTGAAAGAATGACTAGACACCTGGTCCTCAGTTTCTTTGTGTGTAAAAGAAGAGAGAGGTTTGGATGAATGATAATAACATTTTTTTCAAATCTAAACTTCTGATTTTTTTCCTAAAGTGTATAATGTTTTGAAAAGTATGACACTTCATATATAATATATTTATAAACTCAGGCAGGAAATTGTGAATAAAGCTTGACATTTGTAGACTACAGTATGATGGCAGATGATAGTGGCCAAGAGACCATCATGTTCTCTCCCGTGGTTCTGTGGATTTAGTTACAAAGTTTTGGCTTCTGCATATAATTGGTGTTCTTTTTGCATATGCTCGTTTGTAACTAGACTGACCAGCAAGATTTTGACATTTATTCAAATATATTCACTCTAATAACAAAGGATGCAGTTGATTATGTTTCAAAGCAAACTGCTCTAACCATAAAAGCTCATTCATCTTTCAGGTGTTACATTCAAGGTTTTAACTGAACTCCAAAAAGCAACGTGTGAATTACTTTAAAATTTTTTTTTGGCTTTTATTTATGCCAGGTTCTATTATGACTATTGAAATTGATGTAATAGCTTATATACACAAGTTAGATTTGATTTAATTTGGGTCTAAAAAGGGGAAATTGATGAGTGGTAGGCTCAATTGCAGTGCCCTAACTTACCATAATATTAAAATAGAAGCTAGGTACTTGGAATAAACTGCATCTTTTTTTTTTTAATTTTTAAATGTTTTATTTTAAAGATGTGGGTACAATTCAGGGTTAGGTATACAAATGTTCATTATGCAGGCACCCTTGTTGATGAGGTGTCCCCCCGCCCCCGCAGGCAGTTTCTCACTATTGCCAATCCTGCCCCCACTCCAGCAATTTCCCACTTCTCTTAATCCCTTTGTTATAGTATTATGATAATTGTTCAAGGTCCGCTCATGAGTGAGAACATGTGGTTCAGTTCTTTGTTTCTGTGATAGATCACTCGTTATTATAATTGCATCTTTTAAATTATTTGAAGGTTATGATCTGTTTATCAATGGGGTATGTAGGCTCTTGAGTTCCATTAGTAGTGGTATCCAAGAAGAAGACATGGATTTTTTTTAGGAGGTCAGCATTTTCATTCTTGATTTTAAATCATATAGAATAAAAGAGAATGAATAGTTTGTAAACCAATTTCCTTTCAGATATCAAAAACTGAAGTGGTATAAAGGATGTAAAGTTAAAAATAAAAGCTTAACTTCCACTTCCACCATTATCCTTCAAAAGCAGAGATCAATGCTGTTAACAGATTGATGTGTAACCTTTCAGAAATTTTTTATGCACATACAAGTATACGTACGTGTATGTTTCTGCTTTTCTTTCTCCCTATATATTCTGCTAAGTGATATAATTTCATTTTACTTAATATGCCTTACACATTTCTCTATAACAGTATACATAGATCTGCCTTTTTTATGACTTCATAATGTCCTATTGTATGGATGTAACAATCTGTTTAATTAATGGATATTATTAAATATTAATTACTTAATAATACACATTAATTAAATATCCACTAATGGATATTTAGATTTATGGCTTTTAACACAATATTGCTATGAAGATTCTCATATGTATATCTTGGTATACTTTTGTATAAGATATATTTTAGCAGTGCAATTGTTGACTCAGAGGGTTTTAATTGGTTGGCATTTTCTTGATTTTGAGTTGAATACCCCAGGGAGTGCCAAAAAAATATATACACATTTTAAGAGATGTTGAGAGATATTCACCGTAATCAGAAATGTCTGAACACTGATGGTAATTGCTTTGAGTACCTCTTGAAATTGCAGAAGTCAAACATGACATATCTATCTTATCGAGTATTACAATTTTAATTTAGTTTTTTCCTTTCTTAAGAAGTGTATACAAATTTTTGGCACCCTTTGTATTTTTTTCATGTTTATCAGTCAGATAGTGGGGTTTTTTTGTGTTTGTTTGTTTCTGCTGAACTACCTGTCTGTATTTGTTACATATTTTTCTATTGGTTTACTCATTTTTCTTCAGTTGGTTTCATTAAATTGCTAGAATTCTCTATAATATGAAACGAGCTCTGTATCCCTTTAACACCAAATACTTTCCCAACTTATCCTTTGGTTTTTGTATTGTTGTTTTACTTTATTTCCATTCATTTGCTCATTGTTTTGCCATTCAACAGTGTTTAATTTCTGTGTACTTTCCAATTTTTTATTGCTGTGTTTTATGGACTTCATTATATTTTGGCCATTCCCTCTTAGAGATTGTTGAAATGTAACTTTTTCTAGTACTTTTATAGTAATTTTGTACACTTAATTCATTCGTAGAATTGATTTGTGTAAAGAGAGAAGGGTCCATCTTCAGCTAGTGAGGTGCTTAAAATACCATTTGTTTGACAATTCATTTGTTTACCTACTAATTTGAAATGCTGCCTTGATTTCATAAATATCTATGCTTGGATATACAGCATTTTATAAAGTGCATATTGGCCATTTTTGTTTCTTTTGGTAAGTCTGTATATGCTTTCACCAGCACCAAACTTTCACTATTGCAACTTTATAAGTTGTGTTAATGTCTGCTAGGGTATATATTCTCATTCTCCTTTCATAATTTACTTGATATTTTCATGTTTTTCCCTAGACAGATTTAGTATAATTTTGACAAATCACATTTCACCCTCCACTTGTCCTTTAAAAACACATTGCGTGTGCGCATGCGCGCGTGTGTGTATGTGTAAAAGTGGCAGGGAGGTTAATAACGTCTTTATTATAATGAATTTTTATATCCAAGAAGAAGACATGGATTTTCATTTTCAAAATTTATTTTGTTCCCCTCAATAGAGTGGCATAAGTTCTGCACACTGTTAAACTGATGTGTAAATATTTATATTTTTATTACCCTTGTAAACAAGATTATTTTTCTTTCATTTCCAGATTGATTACTGGGTATTGTGTACTAGGGTTTTCCAAAAAAACTGTTATCTGCAAATAATTTCTACTCTTCCACTCATATATATGATGCTTTTTCTCTTAATAATTTACGCTTTCTTAAAACATTGTCCATTTCACCTTTCAAGTTTATTTGCATAATTTATAAATTATCTAATACAGTAGTCTTAACTTATCCAGTCACTTTCTGCGGTTTTAGTTATCTACTATCAACAGTACTCTGAAAATATTAAATGGCAAGTTTTAGTAGTAAATATTCACATAACTTTTATTACAGCATATTGTTCTAATTTATTATTGATTATTGTTAATCTTTTATTGTACCTAATTTATAAATTAAACTTCATCATAGATATGCATGTATAGGAAAAAACAGTATACATATATATGGCTCAGTACTGTCCGCAGCTTCAAGCATCCACTGAGGATCTTAGAAAGTTCCCCCTGTGGATAAGGGGGTAAATTACTGTAATTCTTTTTAATTTCTTCTGAATCTGTGGTTATGCCCCTTTTTCATTTGTAATATGAGGTATTGGTGTTTATTTACCCTACCTACTACAATACTATTTACCCACTACAGTAAATAGTAAAGATACTCTTTTCTAAGTTTTTTATAATCTTTGAAGTTGGAAACTTTTTCCATGTAATTAATCTTGTGGGTTTTTTTCTTTCTTTTTTTTTTTTTTTTTTTTACTTCTGTCTCCAGTAAAAATGAAGACTATTCTATCAGACTTTTATACAAAGATGATTATGAAGTCACTTCTTCTAAGCTAAATAATTTTAATTTTTTTAAATATGGCTTCATGGAGCACAATCTTCTAAAACCTTTATATTATCTTTTGGAATTTCATTAAGATTTTGTACATTTTGGCTAAATTCATAGCATGCCTTTTCTTTAGAGATCTTAGTCACAATTACATTGCTTGCCTTTTAAAATGGTTGTCTAACCTGCTATATATTTTGAATAGCCAAATAACTTCACCCTCAGAGAAAATATTACTGAAAATAGGATTTTAAATGATGCCTATTAATATTTTATTTATATGATTATGTTTGCATTCTGAAGCAAAGACTTGTTAACAATGCCATAGATAATGTTTCAACAGTCTTGAAAATAAAGATTGTAGCATAGGCTAGACCTTGAGGTTCCTTGTTTGTCCAGAAACTCTCTGTTCCTTATTTTTTAATGAGTTGTAATATTGACAAGAAAAGTATGTTTATAAGGCAGATAGAAAATTTCTAAGGAAGACACAAAGCAGAGGTTAATAGTACTGTATGTGATCCATATGTTTAAATATATGTTAGTACTTACATATGTTTTTGTGCAGATATGATCAAGTACTAAAATATTTTCCAAGATAAAATGACTGATGTTTTAATATATCATTAGATTGAATTTAAACTTTGTAAGATAATATCTTCTAAAAATCTACAACTAAAGTTTGGCATTGCTGCAATTAAGTAATCTTGGATAAAGTAATACAAGTATATTTTTAAAAAATGAAACACCAATGATTTTGTGAATAATTAAATCAGTTTCTTGTATGTTAATGGTTTATCTCCATAGAGAAATTGTTTTTAGAAGATTGGAGGTATTAGTAGCATTAGAATAGGAATATTACCAATTTTGTCACTGTTTCTCACTTTTTTTTTAGGTTATGGAAAATGGAAGATTTGCAAAATACAAATATTTTACCCATGTCATGATCAATAAAACAGATATGCTAATGATAACCAGACGGTAACTTGCTTTCTTTCTCTAATGTAATTTGATAAGGAATTAACTGACAGCCACTTATGAGGTGAAGTTATGCACCTTTTGTTCCATATAGACTGATTCCTGTTAACTCTGATCCTCTTGCTCTACAAGCTTGGCTTCTAAAGCATTATATAAATTCATGTCTAGTTTTGTGCATGCATACAGATAAACACACAGTCATGCACAAACATAATATAAATTAAATATCTTAGTATTTGTTTCAACCAATTCAAATGGATACAGAAATTCTGTAAAGCTCTCCTCTCAAAGCTAAGCTTCCTCCTCTCTGAAAAAATATACAACTTTAGGTTATTCCAGAAGTCAGCAGTCATCTGGTGGTACTATTCATTAGAACACATATAAATTGATAAAAGTGGATATATACTAGTGGAACAGATAAAGTTCTATGTGGTTACTTCCAGCTCCAATGACATCTTCAGATAGGCCTGTAGACAGTGGAGGAGTACATGGCCTTAGAGGGGCAAGTGTGCAGGAGCATTCTTGTTAAACTGGGGGAGGATGAGCAGATGCAGTGTTAAGACGGGGATTTCTGGGTGGTGAAAAGTGAAAATATGGCCAAGGCGGAGAAGTTATGGCCAAATAGAAAGGAGTGGTCAGTAAGTCTATGTGGTTTTTTGTTCACTATGGAAGGAGAAAGTTATGTAAGCATCTTATGGTTCAAGTTGACTACTAACCTTAGCAAAGTCATTTTTGATGTTTTTAACTCTAATAATTTCTGAGTCTAAAATTTACAGCCCTATATTAATTTTACTATTTAAAAAGTAACACCAGTCTGGACACGGTGGCTCAAGCCTGTAATCCCAGCACTTGGGAGGCTGAGGCGAGAGAATTGCCTGAGCTTAGGGTTTTGAGACCAACCTGGGCAACTTGGTGAAACCTTGTCTCTACAGTAAATCAAAAAATTAGCCAGTTGTGGTAGCACACGTCTGTAGTTCTAGCTACTTGGCAGGCCGAGGCGACAGGATCGCCTGAGCCCAGCAGGTCAAGGCTGCGGTGGCCGGGAGCATGCCACTGCATTACAGCTTGGGCAGCAGAGTGAGATTCCCGACTCAAAAAAAAAAAGTAACACCAAGTGGAAAACTCCCACAGTCAGTATTGGAAGTTCTACCTGTGAGAGTAAGTCTTCATTCCATCCCAGATATCAGTCCCTCTGTTTCTTTCCCAGAGACAGCCGCTTTTGTTTCCTTTGTATTCTTCATGAAACATTTTGTGCCTATACAGGTATACACACTACATATTTTAATGGAAAGGAAAGTCTGTTATACATACCATTATGGACTAAGTTTTATTTTTTTTTACTTGAGATCTGTATTTTGAAGATTATTCCTTGTCAACATACAGAGGTCTTAATTTGTAAATTTCTGCCTAATATTTATTTAGAATTGTGTGCCAAAATTTACATGTAACTTGATTCTAGACTTTTATAATTGCAAACATTATTCCCACAGTCATTTTTGTTCATAAATATTTTCCATCGTGTTTTTTTTAACTCTCCCTCTCATTAACTAAAGGAAAGGTGACTTATCAGAATTAAACAAGAATCAGCTGCAGAATTTCCAAATCTTACAATATTTAAAAAATTATCTTCATCTCAACATAATAGCCCCTTTAAATGGTGCCTTGACAGAGTAAGGGAAATTAGTTAGTTGTAGTTGATTAAGGGGTGATGCTTACACTTAGGATTTTCTTTTCTTTCCAAGTTTTGGATTTGAGGATAAAGGATCCTTGAATCCAGAGAGAGAGTTCTTAAGTACCTGCTACATTGGCCTGTCTTTAATTTTTCACATGGTTTATGTACTGTAGCACTACTAGATTTGTCCATTAGCCCATGTAATCCAGGATTGGTAAAAGAGAGGGAACAGGGACAGAGTTGAGGTGAGAGGTATACATCCTGATTAGTCTTCTCCTTTTCCTTCCCAGCCAGGAGCCAGGCATTTCTTTAACTTAATGTATATATTACTTAAAAGGAACTTCTGGTTGTACTTATAATTGATGTTTCAACCAGAAAGGAAAACTGGGGAGAAAGGCATTTGAAGGAAGGAGTAAATATAATTATTATTGACAGAATACATTTTCATTTCATGAATTCTTTCCTCAAAGTGGGAAAACAAAGATTGATTAAAACAAAAAGTCTAAGATGATACTTTCTGAAAAATTTATCTAAAATTGACAACAATGGGCCTTGATTTTACCCATGAAAAATCCAAGGCTCAGGATGTTGGTTCTGTTCAACATGGCAGAAAAGCCTCTTTCTGATATAGGTTGAAAAATATATTACATGGAACCCTGGTAATAAAAAGCATTTATTCTAAAGCATTAATTATTTGAAAGTTCCCCCAAATATTGGCTGATAATTCATTCTGTAAATGTTTCTTATTTCTTAGGAAATGCCTTATATGTTTCACTTTATAAGAGCTTCTGTTTTTCTAATATAAGTATGTTGTGCTATCAGTTTCCCACTAAACATTGTTTGAGCTGCGTCCCATAAATTTTATGTTGTCTTTTCATTCTCATTCTGTTCAAAATATTTTCTAGTTTCCTTTGAAATTCTTTGACCTATGGATTATTTAGAAGCATGTTATTTCCAAATATTTGGAAACATTCTTGTTCTCTTTTTGTTATTGGTTTCTAGTTTAGTTCCATTATGATCTGAGGGCATACTTTGTATTGTTTCGGTTCTTTTTAATTCATTAAGGTTTTCTGTGACCCAGAATACAGTTTATGATGGTAAATGAATGTTTTGTTTGCACTCACAAAGAATGTGTATCCTGCTGTTACTGAATATAAGTACCTCAGTTTTAAAGTGGTTTTTTTTTTTCTTTTTTTACAGTGGTGTATTGTTTGTAACAAAAGGAACATTTGGACAACTTACATGTGAGTGGCAGTATAGTTTTGATGAATTTACCAAAGAGCCATTCATTGTTCATGGGAGAAGATTGCGCATTGAAGCAAAGGTATGTTGAATAGACTTTTCAAACTTGGAACTGAAAATGTCACTTTGAAATAGTCCTCTTTACTTTTATGATTTTTCTACCTCTATTATAGATGTTGCCATGCCTTGATACAGTTTTCCTTTACACCTGCTTACTTAGGCTTTAAGAAAAGAAAACTAGGCCAAGAAAAAATGTGCTACTTTCTGTGCTGTTACCTTGACAATTACATACCTTGGCCTTCATTTTATATTCAGTAACAGAACTTTACCTTCCCACATATGAAATAATGGATAGTGAGACCAGGCTTGGTGGCTCAGCCTGTAATTCCAGCACTTTGGGAGGCCAAGGCGAGTGGATTGCCTGAGCCCGTGGGTTCGAGACCAGCCCAGGCAACTTGACGAGGCCTGTCTCTACAATAACTAAAAAATTAGCAAGGCGTTGTAGCATGCGCCAGTAGTTCTGGCTACTTGGAAGGAGGCGGAAGGATCACCAGAGCTCAGCAGGTCGACCCTGGGGTGGCCGTGAGTGTGCCACTGCACTCCAGCCTGAGCGATAGGGTAAGACTCCAACTCAAAAAAAAAGAATTAATAGATAGTGGCAATTAGTCCATGCTCTAGCCCATACTGCTTTCCTCACTTTTTTAAAATAGATTTGTCCCTTTCAAAAAATAACACTTTTCCTTACCTCCTTGATTTCTTCCCCTTTCACCTTTTCTTGAGACTTTGTATCAGTAGTCATCCTTTAAAAAAAAGTAGAAGAATCCAATTTCTTCTGGTTTAAAATGTCAGAAGTATATACATGCATGCAACATACCCATACAACATGTGTATGTATATATACATACACACGCGTGTATATTATTTTTAATCTGGACTCAATCATGGTTCCATGGTCAGATATTAAGAATTGTCTGAGAAGTTATTTGGAGGGAAAAACAGTGTCACTGCCCATGGCTTACCTTCTTCCCATGCTTTATATAAATGCTTTATGGCTTGAGCAGTTGAAATCTGTCCTTAAGTTTTTTAACTTAGGTTTAGTGATAATAGATATGTTCGAATGTAGTCTTTTTTTTTCCATGTGTTTTGATTCTTCTTATTTCCTCATTTCTGGCCTTTTTAAGGTGTATGATTGATGAAAGATGGATACTCTAAGCATAGACTAATAAAGCTTTGTGGTATTTATTTATGAATCTCTACAACTGGATTTTCTTTTTAATGAATTTACTTATTCTTTTTATAGGAACGGGTAAAATCTGTATTCCATGCCAGAGAGTTTGGGAAAATAATTAACTTCAAGACCCCAGAGGATGCTAGGGTAAATATAATAAATCTTTTAGTTAAACAGATAGGAGCTGCTCACTTCAAAGCCATATAAGTTGGACTTTTTTCTTTAAAGACAGATAAGTTTTGTTTGGGATTTTAAAAATTTTGTTTTGTGTTTTGGCAGTTTTTATTATACATAACTAGATAATATTTTCCTCAAACTTTTCTTCACCGGTTTCAATTTAACACTCTTACTTGCTTTTCAGACTAAATTGTTCCATCTTATTTTAAAGTCTAACTGTAGTACTTTGTTTAAAAAAAAGTCAACAAATAAAATGAACTGTTTATTTTAGTGTTAATCTGTCAGCTCTGGCAGGGATAGTATAGCCCCATGTTGTTGATTTTTCTACTGCAGAGCTACAGTAATTATTTTTTAAGTTAAAAAAAAAGTTTTCATAGCATGGCTCAGACCAAAGGCTCAGGCCTAAAGTCAGAAAATCTGAGCTTAAATACTGATGCTGTCCTTTACTGTAGAATGTTGGGGGAAGTCAGCTGACCTCAGAATCCTCAAAATGGGAGTGATGTGAACTGAAAAGCACTGTATGTACTTTAAAGATTGTGGCACTTTAAAGGTGGCCACTGTCAAGAAGATAAAGACTATGAATTGATTATCTGATCTCATTGATCACAACTAAGATGCTGTCCTGGACACTGAGTTACACTCATTATGTCATGAAATTTACAAGAGCACATGCCTCATTTATGTGATCCCTGGGCCTCCTACCCAGACTCAGAACAGATACCTGGTCCCATGCCCCACTTTCATGCTGCTTTCCACATTGGTCCTAACTGTGGGTGATTATTTACCAGTTCACTTGTCACATATGGACCTAAACCAGGTCTCTAGCTATGTATAATAAAAACTGCCAAAACTCAAAACAAAATTTTTTAAATCCCACCTCCTACACACACACACATACCTTGGACCAGTTAGCATATGCTGTGCAGTTTTCCATCTAGACACTGTGATATAAGGCAACATTGACATAATAGCAGAAAACAGAAAGTTGGGGCAAGTTATTAAAAAAGGAATAAAGTGGCTAGAGCCTCAATGTGCTCGTCGCCCAGAACAGGAAGACCAAGTGGAGCATGATAATAGCATGACTTCTAGGCCACCTTCTTTCATGTACCACTTTTTATAGTTTTCCTGTAATAAATTTTTAATATAATCCCTGTCACCATGTGACAGAGGGTTTGCTTTTAATCCTCCTTCTCTGCCAGAAACATCTAAAGGAGGCTACAGCATTCAGTTCTCTTTCTCTTCTTATTTTAGGGCTATTCTTACTTACTAGGTTCTTCTTACTAGCACAAACATCTTTGCTTAAATCTTTTTATACTGGAATAACCCCAGTATCACTTCCAAGTCTTTTATCTGTCATGCAAGCCCCATAATAATGGACATTATTGACAGAAAGGTTTTCATTACATTTACATTTCATTTTTGTAATTTCAAATTATTATAGAATAGGAAATATATTGTGACAGCACTTAAAATGCTCAAGAATATCACTATGCTCGTATTACCCATTGTAGAACTGTATTTAATTATTCCAGTCAATCAGTAGACTTCTATATACAGAATCACAGAAGTTCATGAATTAGCACAGGTTAGAAGGAATTTTACATAAATACTTTCATACTATACCAGTTATTCAATCCAGCTGCCAAATTATCATTTTCTCTCAGGATGCTTATTTCACTTTTCTTATTCTGAAGATGAATATCTAAGTCCAAAGACCTTAGAAAAACATTATTCCTATTTTAAAATCAAACCCAGTACAGTTGTTCCTGAGCTACCAGGGCCATTTAAGCGAATGACATCTTTTGCAGGTTGAATGTTATATATTCGTTGTCAGTATGCACCTAACTAAACTGGAATGCTAACATTCAGATTTCCATTCATTATATTTTGTTTCATTGCAAATTCATTGAAGTAAGCAAATGTTGGTTTATTTTGCTACAACAGTGGATTCTCACAAAGCTAGAAGAAGCAAGAGAACCTTCTCCAAGCCCCTGATGAAGAACACTGCCTGAAGACACAGCAATAAATTATTACAGCTTCTGGATTGTACTTTTCAAACCCTGTTTGGGAAGCATACTACAGAAAAAATTTCAAATATCCTGTATTTTAGATGCTTAAAAATCAGAATCAGGTAAAACAACTCTGTGATTATAATATTTCAGCTCTTCAGAGTTCTATTTGGTTTTTTAACTTGAATCATGTATCTGTTTGTAATTCTAATTATTTTGTAAAAGAAGCATTTATGAATCTAAGATATTTACTCCAAGTTATTCTCTGCAGTGGTGAAGAGGTTGCCCATAATTATTCTCCACGTGGTGAAGAGGTTGCCCATAATTATTCTCCACGTGGAGCCAAGTTTAATTTTCTAGTTCACATTTTAAATTTCTGTTATGCTTACTTCAGACTCCCTTAGTGATGAGTAAATGATACAAATCAAACATCGCCTCAGTGGTATCAAGAGAACACTGGTAGTGGTTTCTTAAGAATCATGAAGTTCTTTTTACAGATAAATATTTTGGTATTATTTTCCTTATTTTCTTAAAGATTGTTTGAATTATACTTAAAATGCGTAGCATAATTATGGAAAGCAATCTTTTTTAATATAATGTATAACATATTGAATAATACCTCTTGGAGCCTCATCTTAAGAAAACTTAAAGAAATGAGTATTATACTCAAAAAGGGAAAGTCCTTCTCAGAACTTTAGAGCCTTTGAAATACTTTCTCAAGCCAGCTCCATGGGATATACTTAATTTACCCAGGCCGTGCTCTTAATAGACTGCAGATTTCAAAGGTAGACTTCCAAGCCTTAACAATACCCACTTTCCCTTCTCTGGTAACATGAAATAAACACAGTTCCCAGTTTGTTAGATATAGTAAGTTATGCTTCAGAACAGGCAGTCTCTTCCATAAGTAAATGTATGTACCCTAAAATCTAACCTGTTCTGTTAGCAATACAGAATTTCTGGTTTGCTTTCTCTAGTTATTCAAGTGAGACTCACCCTTTTAATGAACAGCCCATCAAAACAAAAATCATGAGCTGCACATTAGTCAAAATAAGGACATGGCATTTTCTTTCTTGGTTTTTTTCCAAGATCTTTGCACCTTAATATAAACAGACTGTTTCAGGTGAAAGGCAGTGAATATATGATTGTGAACTATGAAGAGAATTATGCAGTATCTTATTTAGTTATTGAATGATACAGAGTATTCGATGCATGTTGTATGTGCTGCCAAATTATTATAAATTGTTTTTGGAATTGAAGACTCTGTATAGTTGATGGTTGTGAAATTCTTCTCAGGCTTCTTAAACCCTTGCTTTGTTATAAAAGCTAAAATAAACAGCATGCTAGACTGTGATTGTATTTCTTGCTGACCAAATCCTTCCCCTAAATACTGTTGATTTCTCTCGGTTACTAAAAGACATTGTTTATTATCTGTAGTTTCCCCCAGAATGCTTTTTTCTTTCCTGAACACGAATCAAATTTGACAAATTTCAAGTCACATGAAAGCACGTGTCCCCATGATGACCTTTGTTCAAAATAATGTACATGTTTTCTTTGTTGTTGAGCTTCTTCAATTTCGCATACATCAGAATTAAACCTAAGGGTAGAGGCAGTAAGAAAGTTTGCATCAGACTGGCTGCGTCTGAAATGGTGCTTTATTGGAGTCCCACTCAGTATCATTAATCAAACACGTCATTACTCACTCCAGTTTTATGATTTCTGCATTCTCTGAAAAATTCAGACCCCTAACTCCCTGGGTATACTGCCATGAAACAGAAAAGCTTAAAATAAATAAGCATAGAAATTCTTCTGATATCCTCTGGCAGTTAGCAGAAGTGTGTCTTGTACCTAATACGTATACAGACCCAATGTACCTATTCTCCCTGTTCCCTTACCATAAGAATCTAGAAATATCTCTTCTTCTTTTTCTACCGGTCATCTACCCATCACCTTCTCCTACATTTCCTCTGTCTCTAGAGTAGAGGGACCCACAGTTGCAAGAGTGTAGTGTATCAACTGTTTTAGAAGATTTTCTTTTATCTAAACTGTATCACTAAGAGCATCAGTAGATCACTAAATACTGTCAGTCTTTTCAGCATTGTTTTTATAACACAGGTGTGTGTTTTACTCTGTGGTGTAACTACATTAAATGGCTCTCTGCTTGTCTTAGTTGTTTGGTCGTTGCTGTGGGATGAGGTGCTGAGTCTTGTGCCCTCTCTCTACGTATTATTTGTTAGCTGTATTCCCAGGCCACTAATTCAGCACAGGATATGTTCTAGTGCATAGTAATTGTGGGAGGACCAAGAAAGAGTGTTCCCTGCCAAATCTCCACCAGAAAACCATGATCAGTAGAAATAGCAAATTTGTTTCTGGTACAAAAAGACGCTTGTGATTTCTTTACATTTACAAAATGCTCTCTGAACCAAAGGACTTCTCCAGTGTCTTCCCTCTTGGAGTATACATATTTGCTGCTTTTTCCCTCCTGTTATCAAGACCTTGGGATTTTTCCTAGGGTCAGTTTAGTAGAGCTGAGTTGCTTTCTGGTTTCTAAATAATCATTACCATCTGTGGGCAGTTCTTCCCTGCCCCTCTCTCCTCTGTAATCCTGATCCGTTTGGAGGAAACTATCCTGTGACCTCCAAATAGATACATTTTTCTTAAACTTACATGATCTCTTCTATCATATTATCTCTCATTGTTTTCTGATAGTAAGAGTAGTAATAGTGTTCCAGTAAATATTTATAGAAATGTCTCATAAAGTAAGTATGCTATTCTTATCTGGTATGAAATAAAATTAAAAAGGACTCTACACAGTGCTGAATTTTCTGCACCTTAATTATTCAGTTGTCAATTGTCAGTGTTCGTTGACCCTTTAGGCTATGCCAAATGCCCCCTTGCATAGGTCCCTAAATTTAAAAGATCAGGACAAAGTACTTGGTTAGTGTAGGAGCTCAAAATGTGTGCCAAATACCTTGATGGTAGAAGTAGCTGTCTAGCACTGAATGCTTTTGTGACCCAGCCAACTCACTTCAGAGGAATCTCTTGCTTTTTCACTTTTGTCAGGATCAATACAAATCCTTGAGGATGGTATTTTTCTTTTTTTTTAGATTGGAAAATATAGTTTATTTAGAAAGTAAATTACAGAGAGAGAGAGAGCGAGCGGTCCACCTTCCCAAGGTAGGGGAAGAGGCCAAAGCTCGAGGATGGTGTTTTTCAAACTGTTGGTCCTAACCCATCTAGTGGGTCACAAAATCAGTGTATACAAAATCTGCTCAAGACCAGTATATTTTTAAAGTGGAATAAAATAGAAAATGGAGGAACAACAGCTACATCATGCAATTGATTGATTCCTGAGATATTTTTTCAGTTCTATATCCTGTGTATATTGGTGTATATTGGGTCACAATATATAAAGTGTTTCCTATTATGAAATGCAGTTCCAAAATACACAATCTTGAGAGACTGAAGTAAGAGGCATGGGTCATCCAGTGATTGTTGGAATAATCTGAAGTGTGTATAACCTGACCTTAGAAAAGGAGCAGGAGAACCACCACTCAGACATCTACAGATATTGAGCACAGTCTTTTTGCTTCAGGTGGGAAGGTAGGATTACTCTTGTTTTGGTTTACAAAATGTTTTCCTTCTCTGCTGTGTGTCAAAACACCCTCATATGATTCAGTGGGACCAGATAAAGCACAGAAAAATCAGATCCACAAACAGCACCCCAAAGAGGCCGTACGCTATCATTTGCCCAAATGTATCTCAACCTCTTTACCACTAAGCATTTTACTAGGATTGGGGGCAGAAGTTTTCCTTTGAGTAAGCAGAATTTGCTCCACCTACCTTTTCTTTTGGCTGATTCACCATATAGGTGGCAAAGGCCTTTAACATGGGGAGCTAATACACAGGGGACATTCTTATAGGGCCAAAATACTCATTCACTGGGGGGTGCTATAGAAATATCAATGCATTTTAACGGAAAATAATGGATTTTTGCATTTCTTTAAGAACCAAGTAGAAAATGTAGATAACTTGCATCCTGTATGCAGGACTCAGTAGAGAACTTAGTGAATCCAGTTTTCTTTGGTGCTATTCAGTGTTACATGTAGCTCTTTTACTCTGAACCGAAACCTATTCACCCTCCTGGCTAATCCTTTGAAAGATATTTTTGAAGTTATACTTTATTTTTAATGACAATATAATCAAGCTTGGATTAGCTAGTTAAACTTTTATGATCCTTGTAATCTTTATTTTCAGTTGTTGGCCAGTATGGCTACTGTGCAAACTTTTTTTCCCACTCTTCTATTCTCTCTGTCACAATTGATCTTAAGAAATATTTGTTTCATGGCTATCCAGAAAGCGAGGCCAGCACATTGAGAAAATACTGAACCCCGCTCTATTACAAATCTCATTCATGTTTCTTTTATTGAAATTTTTTTCCACTTTGTTTCCTCTTTTGTGAAGTGTCACTTAAGTATATATTTACTTTAGAATTATGAATTCGTTCTACTTTTTTTAAAGCATTATTACATTTTCAAAAAGTTTTAATTTTGGACACCCAAAGAGCTACACAAGAAATCTAACTTCAAATTTTATAGGTTGATATGGGTATGTTTTTAAAGTTTTTATTACTTTATACAAACTAATCTCTAATACAGTTTAACACCTACTGTGATAGATCTCAGACTACTATAATGGAAAAATCCCTGTGTCTGTCACTGAATCATTCATTTAGTATTATTCTGATAATCTTAGTAATGTGCTCCTTGTAATGAAGTCCTTGTAACAATAAACCCTGTAAGATTGGTGTAATAAAATGTCTAATAACCAAAAGTGTATTTAAAGTAGAACATGTGGAAAACCCTGACATTTCTTGTTGAGCCATCATACCTTCGGTGTTCAGCTGGCTACCCAAAAGTTCCCAATTCTTGGACTGAAAAATGTTCAAGTGAAAATGTAGCATAGATTACATTGAAATTTTCTCAATATCAATGATTTCATACCGACACCACAAACTATTAGAAATTGTATCTGGGACTTGTTACAAGGTCAGATAGATTGTTATAGACTTTTAAAACTGGTCATCTCTGTATATGACTGTGCATTACATACAAAAAATGAATTTTTCAGGAAGGGTGAACTTTAAAAATTCTTTTGGTGATTTTTGAATTGACCAAATAGTCTGTGCCTCTTTGTAATGCTTATTCTTTGCTGAAAATATGGTCATTGGTTATGGTAATTCATTTTAAAATATCTAATTCTGCATTGCTGCAATATTTTTTTTCACTTTCCTGTTCCTTTTCCCTCTTTTTTGTGTGCTCAGCTCAGTTGTCTGGTATATCGCTTTTGCCTTGGTTTTGTGTATGCTGATAAGATAATTTATAAACATAAATGTTTACGGTAAAGTTCTTCCTCTTGAAACTGATCTTACTCTTTTTTTTTTTTTTTCCTTAAAAATTGGTTGGCCATGCTCACTAATGACTTTTTTCTAAACAATAATTATTTCTTGGTATTGGTAGATTTGGATTGCATGGTAAGATGCCTGCCCATTTTAACCATGTATACCTTTTCCAAATAAATTGAGTCAAATAAAGATTTCTGATCTTCATTCAGTCTGCTTCTGGTTTTAGTTTTTGTGTAGAACTAGAAACATTATCAATAGCTTTCCCTTGCCTATCTACATGCTGCCCTCTTTGGGGCCTTCCTAAATGTTAGTAACTAACAGATTGCCCCAAATCTTCATTTTTCAGTTATAGCAGACAGTGTCCCAGCCCAGCATGATCATTGCTGACTAGAAGCTTTGGTTGGTAATACTAGAAGCTTTGGTTGGTAATCATTGCTGACTAGAAGCTTTGGTTGGTAACCACCAGCACTGTGCCTCAACTTCAAAAAACTTGAAATGGCTCAATTCCTTTGTAAGTAATGAATATATTTTGAACCAAGGGCCAGGAGAAATTTTTCTATCTGCAGAATCAATATTGGCAGAGGTAATGAATCCACCTCTAATATGGGGAATTCAGCCTTTCCATGACTTAAGAAAATACATTTTTGTTACCACCCTTTGAATGATTTCTTTGACAGCCCTCCTACAACTAGAGTGTTGAAAGCCATCATTCTCTTGTATGCTTTAAGTGTCAGCCAACAATAAATTAACAATAACTTAGTGCTAGAAAGTGCTTGAAATAAGAAACAAAAGTCTATATTGTTTAATTTTCCAGATTACTGGATTCTGTTGAGCCCTTTTCATGTCAATTGGCCAGTAAGACCCAGTTCATATCCTTTGGCCCTTAAGGGGGTTCTTGTTTTTTATTTATGTTTCTAGATTTCCTGAAGAGCTATACCCCCTCTTTGTTCTCTTGGAGAAAATTGTCTTGGCTATTCCTGAACCTTTACTGTTTCAGATAAATTTGTCAAGTTCCACAAAGTGAGGATTCATTTCTAAAGCTAATGTTGCTATTGTAGAATCGCTATATATTAACATAATTTCAGTCTTTTCCAGCACTTGGAATTCTTCCCACAGAGTGAGAACCTGACAGTCCAGCAACTGGCTGCAGGGAAGCCTTAGGGCAGGTACAGGAATGCAGCACATCATTCCATAACACATGTAACCAGTCCAGATATATTTTGTAGACTAACTTGAGGTAGATAATTCACACCAGAGGGAGAGGTGGCGTGTGTGTTTGTGAGAGAGAGAGAGAGAGAGAGAGAGAGAGAGAGAGAAAGAGAGAAATAAAAAAACATCTTGAGCCTTTAGCTTGAAACACTCTAACTTCCCAGAGGATTCTGCTTCTGTTTGACCCAGGCAGCTACTGAGGGAATTCCAACATGGCATGACGATGAACACAGACTTGCCTCAAAAGGTGGAAACTGAGGAAAGTTTCTGAGTTACTATTAAGACCTAAGCATTTTTCAGTTTAGAAGCAGAGCCATCAGTCAACCATGACCTCTATGAAACACAATATAATCCAGTGCTAGTGGCAGAATGGTGTATTCTTTGCCTCCTCAGAAAGGCATGGCATACATAATTCAAACACAACAAATCCATGATGGCCATCACAACTTTGACAGGGATAGTTATATAACATTTGTTAAACAATATAGAATTTTAGCTGTTTCATAAGTGTACAAGACCTGGTCATATACATCGGGGGAAAGAAAAGCATGTATATGTACACACACACACACATACACATTTTTCACCAGTACAATAGTATATATGTACTATAAGAGCTCATTTAACATATGCCAATTTTGGCTTCATGGTGACCAAATTGTGGCAAAAATAAATTAGATATGCTGGAATACTCATTAGTATGGCCTAGAAAATTAACACAAAAAGAACCAACTGCTTTTTAAAACAATCTTTGGTGGCATGTTAAAGGGGTCAGACTTCAGCATGAGGAGAAAACAGCCAATGAGAAATGTCTCTAAATTACAAGATTTAATAAAAAATCTTCAAGCCTTAATATTCTTAAAAAAAAAAAAAGTCACCCAAATTAATCCTAGGGGTCTTGAGGCATGATCTATAAACTAACAGGACCCTCTGTAACATAATTATTAATGACTATTTTTAAACACACTTAAAACATAATTAAAAATAAAACAGTAAATCACAATCTCCTTTAAAAGTCCTATAAAATACCAAATTTTAAAATTACGCAAAATCTTACAGCTTAAAGTCAAAAAAAGAATTATACAGTTCTGGGAATAAAGACTTTAAAAATATTTTGGTCAACTCAAATATCTAAGTTCCATCACCCATCTGTGATCTGCTTGATGTCTTTGGGCTTGGCACGGGGCTGGCTCAGGTGATGTCAAAAGCACTTGCAAATAAAATAAGAGGCACTTGAAAATCACGTCTTCTGTTATGGGAGAGGAGTGGGCAGCAGCTTTTAAACGAGGTTGAATTCCCTCAGGTTTAGTTGTAGAATTGTATCTTTGACAGCTGCAAACACAAAGCGGATATTCTCTGTATCTGTAGCACATGTGAAGTGGGAGTAGATGACTTTCTCTTTGTCAGGATTCTGATCTTGGTAGAGCTTCAAGATAAAGTCTCTGGCAGCTTTGACATCCTGCTTTGGTCCTAGTCACAAATGCAATTAGAGGAATAAAGAAAAAATTAGAGAAATAAAAACTCACCACCACGTCCTTTCAAGAACTATGTGTAAGGTACTATTGTTATTTGGTCTATCTTTATTTCTTTGACCTATCTTTATTTCGAGTGATAGTCTACATGAAGCGTTATTTTTGTCTCTCATTATGAACCTGTAAAATAGTGGTATTTCAAAGTGTTATCTGGTATCGGGAAATTGTACTTTAAGGTGACTTGGACCACTTTTAAAGAGAAATAACCCATATTAACTAATACAGACAGACAGCTGTGGGCTAAGAGAGGGAAATGGACGAAAAGGAACATTATTAGGCTGGTTTTAAAGCTTGAGAGCTCTATGCTACACAACCAGTGTGATTAATAACAGAGGAGAGGAGGGAGCTAAAATACGAATCCTCTAAATCAGGAGTCCCCAATCCCGTTAAGAACCAGGCTGCAAAGTCCATATATTTGTCCTTCTTTATGGCTGCATAATATTCCATTGTGTATATGTACCACATTTTCTTTATCCAATCCAGCTTCGATGGGCAACACAGTTGGTTCTGTTTTTGCTATTGTGAATAGAGCTGCTGCAAACATACGTGTGCAGGTATCTTTTTTTTAGAATGATTTGAGTTCCTCCGGGTATATTCCCAATAGGGGAATTGCTGGGTCATATGGAAAGTCAATTTCTAGTCCCTTCAGAAATCACCACACTGTCTTCCAAAGAGGTTGTACAAATTGGATGGATTTGGAGCCGATCATCCTCAGTGATTTATCACAGAAACAAAGAACTGAGTTCCATATGTTCTCATTCATAAGGTGACCTTGAACAATTGTAATGCCATAAGAAAGCTATTGGCAGTAGTGGAAAACTGTCAGGGGAAGTGGGGGGTGGGACTGGCAGTTGGTGGAAACTGCTAGGGGAGGGAAGGGCATACCTTGTCAACAGGAGTACCTGCATGATCAGTGTTTGTATACATAACCCTGAACTGTACCCCACATCTTTATAATAAATAAATAAATTTAAAAAAATAAAGAGGCTTTAAGTAAAAACAATAACAACAACAAAAAGAACCAGGCTGCGCAGCAGGAGGTGAGTGGCAGGCAAGCTTCATCTGTATTTAGAGCAGTTCCCCATCACTCAAATACCTCCTCACCTCCTCCTGTTAGATCAGCGACAGCATTAGATCCTCATAGGAGTGTGAACCCTATTGTGAACTGGGCATGTGTGAGATCTAGGTTGTGCACTCCATATGAGAATCTAGTGCCTGATGATCTCAGGTGGTGCGGAGGTGGTGATGGGGAGCGGCTGCAAATAGAGATTAACATTAACAGTGAGGTATGACTGCACCTCCTCCCCTCTCCTTGCCCCCTAGCGTCCATGCAAAAAGTGTCTTCCGTGAAACCGTCCTCTAATGCCAAAAAAGGTTGAGGACTGCCGCTCTAAGTATAAATGTCAAACTTAGACCTCATGTACTAGAAATAATTAGCAGCGTGAGGGCATGAAAAGGCTCCCGCTTTGGACAGGTTATGTATCAAGAACTCGAGAGTCCACCCTGTGTCTGGGAAAGGGGATGCCATGCTGTAACCTACACGTAAGGAGCGCCAGGTATGCTGACCGGCAGGGAACGCAAAGAAAGATCAGGCAGAGTCTCTGCCCTGGAGGAGCAGACGATGTCTAATAATGGCCCACAGTGTGACGATGGCCAAGAGCAAGGGGAGCCAGGCTGCCAAGGGAGCAGAGGAAGGGAGGTCGGGAAGGCTTCCCAGAGAAGGAGAAACCTGAGCTGGGCTTTGGAGAGCAAAGTGGAGTCAGTGAAGGGAGTTGGCAAGTGTGTTCCAGGTGCCGAGAGAGGAGAGCGTGAAGGTACCGAGGCGAAAACCCGCAGTGGTGCCACCAGAGCTTCCACTCTAAAGTGGGATTGTGGGGACAGGCGGTTCCCGGCAGATCAGGGAGGCACGGTATACTCTGAACTGATGCCCAGAAGGTGGACAACAACAGCACAGAAACACTGTCCACAAGATGGACACTTACCTGTGTATTCTGGGAAGTAGCTAATTAGATGGGAATACATGATCTTCTCTTCCAAAAGATCCTTCTTGTTTAAGAACAAAATCACAGATGAATTCAGAAACCAAGGGTAGGTGATGATGGTTTTAAACAAGGCTTTGCTCTCTTCCATGCGGTTCTAAGGGAGAGGCAAGGGACTTGGGATAAACTAGAAAGGAAATGATACTTGGGAAGCAACATGCCAAATCGCAGGTCCCATCTACCTGCCCTCTCGTCCTGCTGTGGCTTTCTCAGTCATCATCTCGTGAGCACCTGAGACCCACCGGCACCAGGCCTCCCACTTCTGTTTGTCCCCCCCCTCCCCCTTACTCACCGCCCTCTTCTGGATTCTCTTTCCTGTAGCACCCCAACTCCTCTGTAGCCCGAAACTCACATGTCAGGAAATAAGAACCCCTTTAGTGCAACTTGGAGAAGGAAGATTCACACCCACATTGGACAGGGGCCTTCTGTGTCACTTAATTGTTGAGATTACCAAGTGGAGAAATGCCAGCTTCAGACCTCATATTACCACTACGGCTGGGCGTGGGCTTCCATAACTGGGCCTCAGGAGTCATGGGACCTGGGAGGATGGAGGGAAGGCTCTTCCAGAAAGGCTACTGCCCTCAGAAATACTCGATGTGGCAGAGAAGGGAACCAGTGTTACTGCGCACCTACCCTGGGCCACACTTGCCAAGCGGAGCTGTGTCCCCATTTAATGGATATACATACTATTGCTCTGAGTGTTTCAATAACTTTCCCAAGCCTACATCATCGTGGGATCTGGTGACATTCATGTAGAAGGACAGTAATAATTTCTAAACATTAGACATTAGCAAGAAAATTTTAAGTGCCCCTAATTTACAGAGAGTACATACAAATCTTATCTGGTAATAATACCTGTTCTAGATAACATTCTTCTCTCTCCTAAGTATTTCTAAGAGGAAACAAGAACTTCCTTCCCATTTTTTAAAAAAAATTGTTTTTTACAGGTGAGGTCTCACTCTGTCACACAGGCTGGGGTGTAGTGCCATGATCACAGCTCATTGCAAACTTGAACTCCTGGGCTCAAGCAATCTTTAGCCTTAGCCTCCTTAGTTGCTGGACTCTAGACTCACACCACCAACCCAGCTTATTTTTAAAATTTTGTTCTAGAGATGAGATCTCGCTGTTTTGCCCAAGCTGGTCTCGAACTCCTGGACTCAAGTGATCCTCCCACCTCAGTCTCCCACAGTGCTGGGAGTATAGGTATGAGCCTCAGTGCTGGCCAGAACTTCCCTTTAAGGAGGGAAGACATCAGACTGAAGACATCTGAGCTCAGCATATGCACTCCAGAGGGACAAGGCATAATCTCTAAATCTAAAACTCCCAGACACCCGGGCTCGGACCCCAATTCAATACATTTTGGGGGATGAAGATCTGGAATGTATTATCAGAGAAGTAACCCCTCCCCTGTTTTTAAATCTTCTTTAAAATGTATTGTGATCTTATTAATAATGATCTCCAAGGAAACACAATACATGAAAAAATTCCTATGCAGCATACCCAGTGGACAAAATACATATCTATAACCAGGAGGGGACATCTGGAGTGGCCGCTACTTAATTTTTCTCTAAATACCTTGTGATTTCTAGAAGAGAAAATGTTTAATTTCTAAGCATACTGGGCTGAGATAATGGTCCCTTGTGCACTTGACTAATCTTTGGAGTTTCCCAAGAAACATCACAAGAATTCCTGAAACAAATGAGAAGCTAATTTTTTATATTGATAACTGGATGTCTTTTCTTTAAGAAAAAAAAAATCCCCACTTGGGAGGGCTGGGCGGCAGCCAAGGTTTCTGTTCTTTGCACAATGACACAATTAAATGGGTTAATCCTCCACTAATTAGGTAATGTAGCTGTGTTCCTCAGAGAAAAGTCTGCTCTCAAGAAATACAAGATACAATTTGTTATAGTTATTGCCTAAGTCTGGATGGAGTTCTTTATAGATTTACTGTCATGCTTTGGAAACAAGACATTTTTCTAAAAGGTCAAGAGGTCTAGTGCACGTTCAGGGGGAAAGACTCTGAGGAGTGAGTATTCTACAGAAACTACCCCCAACCTTACAAGGAAGTGACGAGCTGCTCCTCTTCCCTTTCTGGGAGATCCGGCTAATGGAATTGAATCCAGCCAGCATGATGGCAGCTCTGAAGGGACACCGAGTGCCAGCCCCAGCATCTCTGAATGAGATCCTCCCAGGGGAAGTGAAGGCAGATGCAGTCCCAGACAGTCCCAGAACTGCTCCAAGCAGCCGGCACCACAGCCCATGCCAATGCCACTAGGGCCCTAATTAGGGAACACCATGGCCTATGGAGGCTGGGAAACCTGTGCTCAGGTTAAGTCTATTAGATGTGTAGGTTGCTCAACTTTGCATTCGAATCCCTGTAGGGCTTGGAAAAGAGAGCCCCAAGCTAAACTCAGTAAATATGAATCTCTAGTGTGGGGTTCAAGAGATGGTATTTTTAAGCCAAGCACGGTGGCTCACACCTGTAATCCCAGCACTTTAAGAGACAGAGGCAAGAGGACTACCTTAGCCCAGGGGTTTGAGACCAACCTGCACAACGTGGCAAGACCTCGCCTCTACAATAATGAATTAAAAAAAAAAAAAATAGGCCAGGTGAGGTGGCCAGCAGTGCATTAGACTCACCTTCTAAACACCCCCAAACCTGTTATCCCAGCACTTTGGGAAGCCGAGGCAAGAGCATTGCCTGAGTCCCGGGGTTTGAGACCAGCCTGGGCAACTTGGTGAGACCTCATCTCTACAATAAACCAAAAAATTAGCCGGGCATGGTGGTGTGTGCCTGTAGTTCCAGCTACTTAGAAGACTGAGAAGGATAGAATAGCCGGAGCCCTGCACGTTGAGGCTGCGGTGGCCATGAGTGTGCCACTGCACTCCAGCCTGGGCAACAGAGTGAGACTCTAATTCAAAAAATAAAAATAAAAAATAAAAAAAGAGGCCGGGCTCAGTGGCTCAGCCTATAATCCCAGCATTTTGGTGAGACTTCATCTCTACAATAAATAAATTTTAAAAATTAGTCAGGCGTGGTAGCTCCGGCTACTTGGAAGGCTGAGGTGGAAGGATCACCAGAGCCCAGCAGATCTTGGCCGTGAGTATGCCACTGCACTCCAGCCTGGGCGACAGAGTAAGACTCCAACTCAAAATAAAAATAAAAATAAAAAAATTATCCAGGCGTGGTGGCATGCACCTGTAGATCCAGTTACTTTGAAAGCTGAGGTGGAAGGATCACCTGAGCCCAGCAGGTCGATGGTGGGATGGCCATGAGTGTGCCACTGCACTCCAGCCTGGGTGACAGAGGGACACTCTGACTCAAAATAATAACAACAACAACAACAATAATAATAATAATAATGCTCCCCAGGTGATTCCACTATGCTGCCAAGGATGAGAACCTTTGCTTGTGGGTGGTTTCTAACCTCAGCAGTGCATTAGACTCACCTTCTAAACACCCCCAAGTTCAGGCCACATCTACCACCAGTGAAATCAGAATCTCTGGGGTTGGACTTGGGCACTGGTTTTTCTTTAGGTTCTTCAGGGAATTCCAAGTGTGCATCCGAGTTTGAGAGCCAGGGTTCCAGGCCAATGATTCTCAAATTTGCATATGTATGTGAGTTTCCAGAGAGCTTGTTAGGATGTAGAGTCTGATGCAGTCAGTCTGGCTTGAGTCAGAAGGTCTGCATTTCTAACAAGCACCCAGCTGATGGAGCAGCAAGGCTAGTGAACCCAACAAAGAGGGTCTATTGCCTGGCCTGGCTGGCTTCTTGGAAGCCACAGAAACAGGTCTCTGGCTTCCACAGCTACGGCAACTCCCCACCTGGCATACCTCATTGTCACACTCAGCCAGGACCTGGTCATATTCGCTCAGGGCAACCAAGAAAATAATGGAGGTGACACTCTCAAAGCAGTGAATCCATTTCCGTCTCTCAGAGCGCTGGCCACCAACATCCACCATCCTGTTCCAAGAAAACACAGACCCTTCAAAGACTGGAAGACACGACTCTTTGGGGGGAAAGGACATGAATCATTAAACCATGAACATCAGTGCTCTTTGGGGCCCTTGATCATTTGTAAGAGCGAAAACGGTCCCACGTGTAAAATGTTTGAACACCACTGCTTTAGGCAACGAGGATCCATGCGAGGGTTCCTAGCAAAGGAGGCACGGAATATCAAGGAAGTTTCTGAGGACAGATGTAGAGGTGACTCCGGTGGGGACATTGGCTAGAAAGTGCTGCAGTAGTCCAGTCAGAAAGCACAAACATCCACACTTGGGTTCTGACCCGACCACCGCAGGGTCCCAGGACACCACACACAAAAGGGCTGGAAAGGCAAGCACCCTGCAGGCTGTGCACCCATTTTTGTTGTCATGGAGCCTCTAATTTATTCACAAATCCTTAATGCGCTGGCTGGATGCTACTCCTTCTCCCCCTTAAAGACCCACAAGGGTCCTCTGTCCACTATGGAAATCCAAAGCTTTTCTGTGTGTCTTTGGGAAAGATCTCATGGATCAGTGCTCCAGGGGCCAGATGGTTTACAGAAATGTGTCAAGTGGGCCTCATTAAGATACAAAAGTATGCACTGCAGGAGAGCCAAGGTCTGTCACAGGGAGAGCTGTCACATAGCTGCAGCCAACCTGCAGGACTAGATGCAGATTCACAATGACCAGAGCCCCTATCTTTTACAGAGAAACAATACATCCAATGTTTTAAGTGAAGTTTTCCTTTTTTTTTTTTCAGTGAAGGTCTTGCTCTGTCGCCCAGGCTAAAGTGCAGTGGCACGATCATGGAGATTACTGCAACCTCGACCTACTGGGCTCAGGTGATCCTTCTGCCTTAGCCTCCCAAGTTACTGGAACTACAGGCATGCACCACCATGCCTGGCTAATTTTTGTAGAGACGAGTTCTCATTGTATTGCTTAGGCTGGTCAGTTCTTAAATGTTAGCACAAAAGTTTGTCGTTGTTTTATAGCACCGAGTGGGCCAAGAAAAATACACAGTGAGCCACAGACAGCCCATTAGCTGCTAAGTCACCCACCCTCTACCACGCCTCACCCCTTCACACACGTACCTAATCTCGGAAGACACGCCACCAGTGTGATTAAGCAGCCCACAAGTCAACCCCCACCCCCTGCCTCCGCCAGGACCGTTATCTAGAAAAGTGCTGGAAAGAAAACTAAAAACCAAACCCTGCCCTTGAACCATGTCCTAGGGGTGCAGCCTCTCTTGCAATGATGTGTTCACGGGTGGCTGGCCCACCTCACAGCAGGGAAGAGCTGGAAAGGGACATTGCAATTATCAAGAGGTTGAGTTTGAAGAAGCCATTCTGTAAAGGTCTCAGTTTCAAAGCTCAGAATTCTTCAGCCAAAAAGATCTCACTAGGGGAGGTACTCTGAGCTGTAAAGTAATGGATGTCATGGGTGGAGGCTGTGAAACCCGTTCACCAGACTCTAGAAAAGAATGCAAAACCCACTCATCGGAGCCGAAGGAGGATAAACTTGGAAGAAATAAGTCTTAGGCCGGGTGCAATGGCTCATATCTGTAATCCTAGCGCTTTGGGAGGCCAAGGTGGGAGGATCGCTTGAGCCCAAGAGTTTGAGACCAGCCTGGGCAGCATAGCAAGACCCCACCTCTACGAAGAAAAAAAAAAGGAAAAATTAGGTGCACATAGTGGCACACCCCTGTAGTTTCAGTATCTCGGGAGGCTGAGGTGGAAGGAGGTTGAGGCCGAGCCAAGGAGGTTGAGGCTGAGCCTAGGAGGTTGAGGCTACTGTGAGCTGTGATGGTGCCACTGCACTCCAGCCTGGGCGATGAAACAAAACATAAACAAAACCCTTGGGAGCCCCCCTGAGAAATTTTGGAAGTTGAAAAAAGCAGTTGATTCTGAAAAGGTTTAGATAAATTCACGGGCACAGGGGCGACCATTAAAATTGGGACCTGCTAACAAAGATGCAGGTTATCTACTGAGGACTGGACACAACAATTCTAGATGAGAGAAGCACTGAGACAGAATTGGAAATAAGACCGGAGGTGGGAGGACTGGCTTTGTGTTGTCTCAACTAGGAAAGCATTGTAACAATTGTCAGGAGGAATGCGGGACATCAAAATGCTCTGAAATTTGCAGTGCCATGCATATGTGCTATATTCTTCTTCCTCTTCTTCTTTTTTTTTTTTTTTTTACCATAATTAAATGCAGTGAAGATCTTAGGTCATCCTAAAAGTATTTCCTACATTTGCAAGTGGAAATTCATACATTTTTTACATGGCAGTGAGTGATTTGTGTATATTATGTAATTTTGATACACATTTTCTGTATTGATTCTTAGTTTTTATAGGGATACATGTTGGAGAGGGAAATAGAGAGGAAGAGGAGCATTATTCAACTCTAGGAAACAGAAATCAATAATCACTGTTCAATTTGGGGGTTACAGAAACATACGTCTTTGTGTGTGTGTGTGAGTGTGTGTTCCATGTAAGAATGATTCCAGTTTCCAGTGAGGAAGCTCTTCTTCTCCAGGGGTACTGGGGAGTGGCCTCTGTCCACGTGTCCATTCCAGGACTGAGACCACCACAGCTCCAAATACGGTCGCTCGGCCCTAAGAGTTGGAACCCCCTGCTGAAGAATAACACGTTCAAGAAAACGTTTGGGGGCTTCCACGCCTGGGCAGACCGTCTTCGTGGAGCGCGCTGGGGAGACCGTCTTACCGGAAGATGATGTTCTCCAGGTCAAACGGGTACTCGATGATGCCGGTGGTGGGCACGCGGACACGGAGCACGTCTTGCTGCGTGGGCACAAACATGGGCGTGGCGATGCGCTCGATATCAGTCAGGTAGCTGCGACGTTAGAGAGCAAGGGACTGAGACTCCTTTGAGAGAAGGGAGCGATGTCCACCCTCCTCTCGGAAGTCACCCCAGCTCGCAGGGAACCCCCCCCCCCAGACACGGGGATTCCATCCGTGGCTTTCTGGAGAGCCAGCTCTGGGCCAGGCCTCCCCACGCCTCCCATGGCTGTTTTGAAGACCGTGGATCAGAAGCTCTTTCGTGAGCCTCCTGGGAAATCCACAGAGCGCTCCATCTCTTCTCCCTGGGTTCTCAGCCACATCTATTTGGCTGGCGAGGGAGACAGCAGGGCCGGAAGGGCTAGGATGCTGGAAACGTCTGGCACTGACTCCCCATCTGTCCTCCTCTTTCCAGAGACCCTTCTCCCTCCCACTCGCCCTCATCCAAGAAGGGGATGCCGCCCTCTAGGGTTTTTGCTCAATGGATTCAATACAGTCCCTAAGAAAATATATATACATAAAACAGGCCAAGGAGAAATTCAAAATAACAGCCACAAGAAGTTTTCCTGTTAAAGACACTGGGAAACTAAATATCTCCTAAAATAACCCAAAACTTGCCTTAGATTATTTTTGGCCATATATTAAAGCCCTAAGCTTAAAACAGATCCTTTTTTTTTTTTCTGTAGTAAAAACAAGTAAATACTCTTTATAAAAACACGAAGGCCTTCATGAAAGATATTGTTTAGTAAAATAACTGTAGCTCAGGCCCTGGCCAAAAACGAAGTTGAAGATTCAGAGACTGCCCTTGCAAGCCAGGGCGGGCCCTGCCTCCTGCCTCCACAGCCCAGATGTCAGAGGCTGAGCGGGTCGGCAGGAAGGGAAACCAAGAGGTCACAGGCAAATCCTGCTCATCCATGCAGCCTTTGGCTGGAGAAGCAGAGCTCTAGGACAGCCTTACACAACCCCAGTCCCACACAGACACGGAGCTGTGATGGTGCCCCTGCACTCCAGTCTTACCACTGTTTCACTGTACTTACATGTGTGATTATTTGTTGTGTACTGGCTTGCTCTCCCAGACAGTCCCTGAGAGCAGAGAGCTTCAGTTGTGCCTGCAGCCCTTGCCACAGGGCCTGGCACTCTGTAAGCACCCATAGCATTTTTGTGAAACGAATGCACGTCCAGTAGCAGACATCGCCAGCAGAGCGACTGAGAACCACTGAGGCAGACCCGGGATACGCATGGGGCCTCGAGTCCCGGCAGTTCCAGAGGTTGGGTGACTGTCTGAGTGAAGAGAGCTGTTTTCTCTGTGGCGGCCCTGTCCACCACTGCCGCTCCCCACCTCCCTTTCTTGCCCCAATTTTCAGGGCTACTTGGAATTCGACAGCAATTCTGGTGCGTCTTTTCCAAAAATATCCGCATCAAGAGCCCAAGCCTGTGCCCGGGGCCTTCACAGAAGCAATAACACTAGGCCGCCTCAGGGAAGGGTCAGGAATGCCATGACTATCTTTGACTCTGAGGTGTCCCTGGCTCCTCAGGCTGTCCAAGGCAGTCTGTTCCTCCTCCTTGGGACACTTTCTCCCTTCCATCTCTTTTCTATGCTGATCTACACCTTACAGTGTTCCTGTAATTATATTGGATATGCCATCTGTGATTAATAACATTAAACTCTCAGCCTGGGATAAACACCAAAGGAAAGCCATTAAAACCACAGGAGGCTGGGTGAGGTGGCTCACACCTGTAATTCCAGCACTGTGGGAGGCCGAGGCAAGAGGATTGCCCAGGAGTTTGAGACCAGCCTGGGCAACATAGCGAGACCTCTTTTCTACAAAAAAATCAAAAAAATTAGCTGGGCGTGATATCTCAAGCCTGTAGTCCCAGCTACTTGGGAGGCTGAAGTGGGCAGATCACCTGAGTCCGGGAGGTTGAGGCTGTGATGATGTCACTGCTGGACAACAGAATGAGACTCCAATAAAAAATAAAAAATAAGAATAAAAAAACAGACGACATTTCTGGTTTTCTCTCCTTCCCACTTGCCAAAGCCCGCTCAGAGTGCTGACAGCCCCTGAAGGGAAGGCGGTGAGTCTGGGAAAGGATTTCCAGGCCCTCCGAGGATGGGAGATGATTTGAGGTAGGTGAGAAAGAGCAATACTGCAGAAGCCGGAATCACTGCCCCTTCAAGGAGGACGGAGATCAAGCTATTTACCCAGTGACCAGGCTGGAGGAGGCATTGCCTAGGGAAATTCTTAAGGTAATGAAAATCTGTGATCTCAGTGGGACAGTTTGCATTCAGGACCATCTAAATATAATAAGTATTTTCAGCTTCAAGGATGAGTGATTTAAAACTTGAGTGTTATGGATCCAAAACACAGTGTAGGCCTTCACAGGTCAATAAACAATCAACACAGGGGTTGGTAAGACCAAACTTCCTGTGTGCCGGGATTGCAAACACCCATCATGCCCACCAGAGAGCAGCACAAGACCAGCAGCTGACAGGCCCGTGACACTGCTAGTCTAAACTTGTGATTTTTCAGATTTTAGAGCCATTTGACCTGCCATCTTCTGATGGGGAAACCAGAAAGGCAGAAGGATACGGGAAAGATGGAAAGTGGAAGCCAGAAGCAAGTGTATTCCTTGTTTAAATCAGATAACTTCAGCATCCCGCGTGAGATCAGTGCTACTAAAGGGAGCCCCAAATTCGATTGTGTCATTGGAAACCACAGGCTTAGAACTCAGTGAGAAAGGGCAAGTGTGGGCAAGAGGAGAGATCTGGGAGGTGGTATGGAAACCAAGAAGTCAGGGGGATACAGAGAAGGGGAGGCGTCCCCGAGCGTTGCATCTCAGCAGGAAGCTTCTTTGATGCATAAGCCAGTTTGCCTGGAAATCCCCAGGCAGCCATGGCTGGCCGGGACTCACTATTTGGCAGAGTCTGACAGCTGGTACTCCCTCCTCCTGTCGTAACACTCCTGGATTCCTGGATCCTGCCAGAGCTTCTTGATGGCCTCCACCTGGTCCCTGGAGAGTGAGGAGACCTTGTCCACTTCCACCTCTCTGATCATCTGGGCGTTTTCCTACTCCAAGCAAAGAGAAGCTCTCATTAGGTGAGGAAAGGGAAGGCTAACCACTGGCGATTTGGGGACAAAGATTGCCATGGCACGTGGATCCAGGGAGATCTTACCAGGAGCTGGCGTGTGGTGGGTGCCCTCCCACGGGCTGCTCACAGCCCCATCGCTCACTGTGGCCACGCTGAGTGGGGATGGCATGGCGGCTCAGCTCAGAGGAGAGAGTCAGGAAAACCAGAGCAGTGTGGCTTTCACTCCCAGAACTGTTCTGGGCTGATTTCACCAACATTCAACACCCAGTAGTGAATAAAGAGACACTGGCAAACTTGACTTCCTCATTGACACGCTACTCATTTGAGGATCTACATAGCCAATGGAGCAATTTAAAATGAACTATTATTATGATGCATGCCACAGTAAGGCATGGGTGGTAGAAGCAGAGGTCTACCTGGGTGCAGACAGTCAGAGAGTGCGTTGGCTTTAGGAAGCTGAAAAGCAACAATGTTAACTCATCATCTGTCTGCTTTTTCTTTCTTTAAAAAAAAAATGTGTCCGGGCACAGTGGCGCATGCCTGTAATCCCAGCACTTTGAGAGGCCGAGGCAGGAGAATTGCTTGAGTACTGGAGTTTGAGACCAGCTTGGGCGACATAGTGAGACCTGTCTCTATAAAAAAATTTTTTTAAATTAGCTGGACATAGTGGTGCACACTTGTAGTCCCAGCTATTCAGGAGGCTGAGGAGGGAGAATGCCTTGAGTCCAGGAGTTTGAGGCTGTGGTGAGCCATGATCATGCCACTGCCCTCCAGTCTAGGTGACAGAGTGAGACCCCCAACTCAAAAAAAAAAATGTTTAAACTTAGTGGCTCATGCCTGTAGTACCAGCTATTTGAGAGGCTGAGCAGGAGGATTGCTTGAGGCTGGGACTTCGAGACCAACCTGGACAACATAGTGAGACTCCTTTCTCTACTATATATATTTTTTTCTTTAAATAGATTTTAATTTTTAGAACAGCTTTAGGTTCACAGCAAACTGGAGTGTTTCCATACAGTCTGCTTTTATTATCAGAGTCACTGATAAAACTCTTTCCCATTCTCCCATTGCATCCCCTTCCCACACCACTGATTACTATAAATTATTATAGCTATTATCACCATGCTTATTAAATAATTATTGCTCTAATACTGTCGCTCTATGGTCACAGTCATTGCCAAGGTCATTATCACTGTAATTATTACTGTTGTAGCAGTTAACATTTATTGGCCATGGACTGCATGTGCCAAGGACATATACATCATCTCATTTAATCAGTGAAAGGCTAGCATGAGCCAGAAATCTTTGGAAACTTTAGAAACAAAAATGCTAAGGCTGGCCTGCATCCAAAACATTTTCATGTGCTGGCCACAGACTCAGCCTCCCTTCTTTGGCTGCAAATTGCAGTAGAAAAGCGAATCCTGGCAGGAGAAATGGGCCCAGGCTCTCCTTCCTCTCCCTCTTTGTACATCTAGCAGCAATTACATCACCACGCAGAGCTGGCTACTTGCTGGCAGCTGTGAGTCAGCAAAGCATCTGTTTGGTAGCTGTGTGTGATCGCAAGTGCATATGGTACCCCCTGAAAAGTTTTGATCTTGCGTTTATTCTTGTGACCATCCCCCAAAAGGCCAGAGCAAAGGAAGATCTTACAGGTTCAACTTGGCTCAGACTAAAACCAAAGGCTCTGATTACATCGAAGACTTTGCTCCCACATACACCCATCACAAAGGTGGATATAAACTCTCCCCACAGACTGCAGGATCCTCAGGCAGGCAGGGTCTCAAACAAGGCACAGGCAGGGTGGGTTTGTGGGAAGTGCCCTGGACCAGGAAGCAGGACCCTGAGTTCTAAGTTGTGCAGTTGGAACTTTTGAGGACCCTGATAAGTTACCTGCCTCGGTGACCTCATTTGTAAAACAAACCAGTGATTTTCAGGGGAGCCAGGATTATAAAGTATTACTCAAATCTAGGTAGGATTAGCTTTTGTTACTGTAGCAGATTACTAATAACTATTTCTTGTTTGCAAAAACAGGGCACATTGGTAGCCCCTAATTCCACCCAGCACATCACATGGCCTATCCTTGGCCAGGCAGGATGATGAACAGAGATCCTGGGCAGCGTCTCTCTGAGCAGAAGAGCTGTCTCTGCTTCCTCCCACTTCAGCCACCCTCTCTCTCCTCCCAAGTAGGTCAGCTGTGCTGAGCTCCACCCTCTAAGGGTAAAATATCTCTTTTTCCTCTCTGTCCATACATCAAGCCAGGAAATGATACGGTGGGGAAGGGGGGAGAGGATGCAGAGTCAATGTCTTATTTGTCCTCAGATTTCCCAGAGCCTAGCTCAGTGCCTGGCAAATAATAGGTGCCTTTTATTGATGTGTGTATTCAAGAAACGTTTGTGATGCACATAAAGCTTATCTGATAGAAAATAAGAGCAAAGGCGGAATGACAGAAGCCCATGTGATCCCGGTGGGAGCGCTTAGGAGCCATGGGCAGTTTCTCAGAGGAAGCAACGCTTGGTGACTCTTGGTCAGTTTGTCTTCCTAGCTCTGGCCCTGAGACCCTCAGCATCCTTGCTTCTTGTGGCTCGTGCCTCTGTGGCAACTCTCCTAATTGAACTGTTCGGTTCAGCCTGAGTGCCAAGAGTTAGTGCTGCAGCAGTCATCAGGGATGTGACAAATATATTTCTACCTCTCCTCCTTACAAATGCAGTGCAGGATTGTACTTTAAGGTAAGTGAAACATGAGGGGAAATCACTTCTGTCTCTTCTGGGGAGAAACTTTAAAAGCCAGTGAGTAATGCAGAAGCATGAGACAAGATAGAGCCCCATCACCCAGGGCTTCTAATGACTATGAGGAGCAGAGATGCCCTCACCTGCCATATGGGATAGTAGTGTGAGTGAGAAATCAACCTGTATGTTATAATCAACACAAGTTAAGTGAGCTGAACTTTAGGGCAGTTTGTTTCACAGCATAACCTACCGCATGTATCCTGACTGATACATGTTGCAGTGGATAACCCCAGCCTCTGGTTCTTCCAGTACAGAGAAAAAGTGGATACCAAAATGGGTAACAAAGAGAAATGCAAGCTTCTGTTTATTTTATTTTATGTTAGCCAGAGTCTCACTCTGCGGCCCCAGCTGGAGTGCAGTGGAATGCTCATGGCTACCACAGCCTCGAGCTGCTGGACTCAGGCAATCCTCCCGCCTCAGCCTTCCAAAAGTAGCTGAAGCCACAGGTGCACGCCTTCACACCTGGTTAATTTTTTTATTTATTGTAGAGACAAGGTCTTGCCAAATTGCCCAGGTTGGTCTCAAATCCCTGGGCTCAGGCAATCCTCTTGCCTCTGCCTCCGAAAGTGCTGGGATTATAGGAGTGAGCCGCTGTGCCTGGCTGAAAATTTCTACATAGGCTTTTGAGGGATGGAAGCTGGGGAGAAGGTGACATGACCTCTCCGGTAACTAAGGGAACTCAGCCAGAAGAAAAAGACATAGTGTCTATTCAGTCAGACTGGGTAATTTATTTTTAAAAAGAGGCTTATTTTGGGCCCATGGTTCTAGAGGATACTGGCATCTGCTCACCCTCTGGTGAGACCTCAGGGAGCTTTTCCTCATGGCAGAAGACATGGGAAGCCTCGTCACATGGTGAGAAGAGGAGAGAGAGGGAGGGAGAGAGAAGGAAGTTCCAGGCTCTTTTAGACAACCAGCTCTTCTGTGAACTCACTCATTGCTAAGGGGAGGGCACCATTATGGAGAGATCGCCCCCATAATCCAATCACCCCCTACTAGGGTCCCACCTCTAACATGGGGATCACATTTCAACATGAGATTTGGAGGGGACAGCCATCCCAACTGTATCACCAGGTGAAGGGAGTTTGGGGGAATCTGACTTGAAAGAAGAGGAGAGACCAGGCTCCTTGGAAACCTGACAGTAGAAACAGTTTGGAACAGACTACACTCCAGAGGCCCAGGAGTATTCCGAGTCCCAAAGTCTCCGCTCTGTCATTGGTTCTTCCTAGTTGGTTTTCCTACCTGTCAAGATCAGGTTAAAAAAAAAAAAGCAAACGTCTTATTTAAAAACAATTTAAGGCTTGCAAAACTGGTACAAAGACTTGCCCTATGCCTTTCAAGATTGGTGAAATGTTAACAACGGTCTACCTCGCTTTAGCTTTCATCCCCTCCCCTCTGCGCATGTGCACATGACATTCACACACTCACACAAACCAACACTCACAGATGCTTTCTCTCTGCAATCCCGCAATACTTGAGAGTAAGGGACAGACACCGTGCCTCTTTCTCTAAAGACTTCAGTGTCATCTCTTACCAACAAGGATATTCTCCTGCATGATCTCAGTATAACTATCAAAATCAGGAAACGAACACTGACACAACTTATTATCTCTATTTCAGACCTTATCCAAAGTTTGACATGTGCTCAGGAATGTCCTTTATCTGGCCTGGGGGCCCAAGGTAGGGTCACATGTGGTATTTGGTGGTTGTATTTCTCTAGTCTCCATTTATCCAGAAAAGCTCTTCTGTCCGAGAAGTCATTTTTGTCACTCTGAACAAGAGTGGCCTGGTGAGGGTCTCCTCTTTAGTCATAAGGTGTTACAAGAACAACTGGTAGAGAGAGTGATGCCTGAGGCCCCAGAGAATGTTCCAGGAGCAAGTATTAGGAAGGGCATGGTGGAATGAGGGCAAGAGTGCTCTGTTATCTTTGTCTAAATGATTAGAATGTTCAATTCCAATCAAACACTGGAATATAGAATATGTAGGAGATAAACGACTTGGTACTCCGTCAACAACATCTGTGTATCCCAAGCATGGCGTCTGGTGCAGACGCCCCTCTGACTTGGTTATACAGGCTCACAATCGGCACGTGGGCATTTTGATGGGTATGTTCAAAATGCCTCAACAGTGCGCACACGCTCAAGGCAAGGAAGAGGCCCTCATACATTGTGGGGAAACTTTGATGTCATTGAAGACT